CCAGTTTCTTGTGATGTCCTTTACGAGTGGAGACTCATATAGATGCACCAGCTGTCTTTTTGGCACCCCAATCTATGTACTTCTTGATGTAGTTGTTGACTAAACGTCTATAATCTTTATTGTCATCTTTAAGACTTTGAACTTTCAGCTTGTTCCAAACCAGCTCAAAGAGACCAACGATACTAGGGTAACCAAGAGTCTCTCTAAGGACTTTGTATTTCAACTCATCTTCCTTTAATTCCCCTATCCAGACAATTTCTTGAATCTTTTCATTCATATAAATGAAATGATTTACGAGTTGCACCAACTCATCCTTTGTGTCTCTTAATATTAAGGTGTGAGTTTGTAGAGTTATAATTATGTTCATAACGCTTTCCTTTTGAGTAGGTGTTCTAGCAGCCATTGCTCGTCTATAACATAACATTTTTCTATAACAAATACAAAAAAACTATTTATTTATCAAATAAAGGTTGACTATATTTGATAAATAATATATATACATGTTTATGACTTAATAACAAAATTAGACTCATAATAACATACCAAGTATGCATTTTATTCTTTACAGCAAAGAAAAAAAAATTTAGAACACTCCACGCGCCACCCAGAGGTAGTCACGCTCTTCCACGCGTCGGTCAGGGTTCTCCACGCGCTTGCCACACGCCTCACGCTGAATTCGGGTACTCGTTTCACCTTTAACCAGGTCAATTTGACCCGTTGACTTTGTTTGACCTTATGGGTCAGGAGTTGACCCGGTTTGACTAACCCGTTTAGTCATATGGTAGGGGTTGACCAGGTCGATTGACCATTACCAGGTTTGACTAACCCATTTGATGTTCTGGGTCAAATACGTGGGTCAACTTGACCCATTTTATTTTGTTTTTGGGTTGGGCCAAAGATGAATATATAGGATTTGTAAGTTTAATTAACACAAACAAAATTGTAGCCTAGTGGTTAAACTTATCTCCTTTCTACCCAAAGACTTGGGTTCAAGTCTCACCACCCAAATTGGTTTTCATTTTTTTTTATTAAAAGGAGTAAAACAAATAACAAGTCGTTTATAAGGCTGAAATTAAAACGACTTTCGGTCCTTGTCATCTTCTACCTCTGTCTGGGTCTGTAACTTGGTACTCGACCCAGAAAACAACCCATACAAAACCTGAATCTTTAAATAGGCATAACTAAGTCATTTTAACTCCCTTTTTTTATGATTCAAAAGCCATTTTCTTAATAATTTCATAAGGAATCTAATAATCTAATTATCACTACCAGAAAGACAACTTTTTACGCACAAAAAATGAAATTTCAGAACTGCATTTAAGTAACATGCAACATGCTTTAACACAACAGTATGAAATTAAAAACAATGTAAACCACATCTCTAATACCATTGTTGGAAAAAATTCAGAATAATAAATATTCTAAACTAATCCCAAGATCATGTTAATAGGCACCCATTGCAATCACATTTTACATAAACGAATTACAACGTCTTTCACATCATAAATACCTCTTCTCCTTAACTCTGAAGCAAAAGTTGAATCTGGAGAGAAAATCACCGTAGAGTATTTTTCTTTAACAATTTTTAAAGAGAGAGAGTGAATAATGAGTTTTCTAAAAAAAACTTCACTTATATATGGGCAGCAATTACCAAGCAGATTTTTAGGCAAAAACTGCCTTTGACAGTTTCCACTTCAAACGTCGTTTGGGTTAATCCATCATGGGTGCTCACCCTTATCCAATAAGATGGAATCCGAGATATTTATCCTTTTAATTACGTACAAGAAAGGATGAGATTTTCCTTTGTTTACATATGTTTGGAAAAATTAATTTTATGTTGGATGTTTTAAATAGTTAAAAATCATAAAATGAATATATACTATTATATTGCTAATTCAATAATGTCACTGATCTATTAGTAGTTATTTATTTATTTATATTTATATACTAACTAAAATATGCTAATCTAAAGATAACTACCATCGCAATAATTTTTTTATATTTCAACAAACATTGTTCGAATGTTGAATAAACATAAATATTCATTGAGCCGGTTTGGTTTGTGATAGGGGTGAGCATGGGTCAAGGGTAGAAACAAAACTAAAATCAGTCCCGTTATAGTCCGGTTCAAGTTCTAGAAAATTGGAACTGGGAGTTTCCGGGTCTGTTTTTGGTTCCTACAAAACTAGAACGGGGAACTGGAACCAAAACCAGAACAAAGTTCGAGTACCCAGATAGGAACCAAGACTAAATTATAATTTTTGTAAACTATTAGACGTGTATTTGTAATTTTTTGGTGTGTATTTGTCATTTTTTAAAAAGTAGGGGGTAATTAAAATTTACCTCGGTACTAGGAACTGGAACTGGTATCGAAACCGGCCGGTTTCGGTTCCAAGTTTCAAATCTTAAGAACTAGTTGGTTTTGGTTCTGGTTTCTTTAAAAAATGCTAAGTATCTGGAACCGATCACCCTTAATTTGTGAGATACAACTTTAGGATTGTATCGTTTGATTATTATCATGACTCTAACTAGGACAAACACTAATTTAAAGGACTAAATTTTTGTTCTATGTTAAGTCGTCTGAATGATGCAAGTTATAGAAAATATATTTTATTTATTTAAATGAAAAATAATTTATTTTTGTAAGAGTTATCTGTGATTTCAACATATTTTTCTTGTGTCCTTGTCTTCTCAAACATACATATCAGCTTCTAGATAAGCTTGGAAAACTAAAATGATTTGAACCAATTATTAACCATTCGGAGAATCTTAGATAAAGATTGCACATAAATTTATATCTATAAACAATGGCAAAAAAGTCGAAAACAAGATAACGGGGTATCCATGACAATTTCTTTCGGGTCAGTTTTTTAATTTGACCGTTAAAAAGTTAAAACAAACAACTTTAATTAATTATGATATATATATATATATATAGGTCTATAGGTCTCGGTGACATTAACAATCTCAAATGTCTGCGTTTGTTTCCTATTTTTCTGGTATCCTATTCCTATTATTTTCAAAATACATATTTGTTTTATCATTTTAAAAATATTATTATATTTTATTCGATTATTTTAAATTCTTTAAATTAATTAATTTAACTAAATAACCTTAAAAAAAGTTTAGAAATTAACAAAAACACCTTCATCACCTATATTTGTCAGATTCCAACCACCACCATCGGAAAGTGGTCGGAATCTGGTATAATAGGTTACTACTAGTTAGATCTGACCAGTAGTGTACCGATATAGCCTTTTTCGACCAATCCACAGTGGATCTGACTGAAAAATGCTATCTCAACGCATGACTGGCCAAATCTGGCCGATCGTACGCCGATGCAGTGACTTCGGCCACCCTTTGGTGGTGGTGGCCGGCTGCCAGTATTTAATGGATAGGTAGGGATGTTTTTATAATTTTAAATCTTACCTCGTTATTACCATTCAACACTTACTTTTTTAAAAATACTATCCAAAATACTAAAACAAAAGCAACAAATAATCAAATCGAATCAAACGAACAAAAAAAAAAAAAAAAAACCAGAAATCAGAAATCAGAAATCAGATTCACAAAAAAGCACGTCATGAATATCTTTATTTTAAGTAAAAGCCGTTATAAGTAGATAATTTATAATTTAGCCATCTGCCCATCTCTCATTACTCTCCACATTCAGTCACAGAATTCACAAGAATACTCTTCATACAATCAACCATCCCCTGCATTTGCTCTCTTGAGTGCAACGGCGACGGATACACGCACACACAGTCTAATCTTCCGCCGCGCAAGGTGTCGAACAACGCCATGGACGGCCCAAGTCCGTGAACCGAAGCGCATCCTATGTAGTCCTCCAACCCAACAAGTTCTTGTTGCTTCTCATTGCAATCATCCACCACTGTGTCCTCAAACACTGACATCAGAGATGTTCTCAGGGATGAAGATGAGGTCAAGCCGGGGTTTTCGATAGCCTTGCACATTAAAAAGTTGAGGTCCGCCATGTCTGAGAAATGCCTGTTGCTCTTCTTTGAGTTTGCAAATGCCATGTACATTTTCTTGGCCAGCTCCCATAGTTTTTCTCCTCCTCTTATTATGTGTGTGTTCATGATTGCTGAGTGATAAAAACCTGAATAAAGAATAATATTATCACAAACTTAAACTTATTGTATGAATTAAATTTTTTGATTATGGAGTGAGATTAGAGTACCTGTTGAAGACATGAGTCAAAATTTCTCTAACTAATAAAATTAATTTAAGATACTATATATATATATATATATATATATACTCAGTTTGCATACATTGTTAAACATGATCAATGGTTAATTAATTAAACAGGTGGTCGTGCTTAAGGAAGGATATTGTGCATACAGTAGCTTGTTCAAAAAGACCACGCTTACAGAGTTGCAGAGGGCCACCTTAACTCCAGAAGTCAGGATCATATAATTAATGAATCTGCTGGAACCCCTCACATGTTTATGTTAATATTTTCAATCTATCCACGTCATGAAAGGGAATAAGAACTATATTAATTTTCAAGATTCTGGAAGTTGTATACTAAAAACCAACAGGTTAATTAAACAAGAATTATTATTAATTAATCAAAGATTAACTTACCAAAATGGTGAGCTGAAAGCGGTGGCTCAAGAATGGAACGGCAATCAGTGAAAGTTACCACTGCATACTTTCGATCAGACTGAGAACGTTTTGTGCTCTGAGCAGCCATCACTCCAGCTGCTGCTAGCGCTCCACATAATTTTATTCCTCTTGATTTGCAACCCTGCAATTTTTTTTATATATATATATGTGCAATCAATTTATGTTTTTATTATTATTTTTTTAACAGTTTTTTAAGATTTAGGGTTTAAACACTCTCATAAATACCTATATAGTTTGTTTTTTGTTTTTTTAAATATTAGAGGATTCGATTGAAACCCCTGTTTTCAAGTTGGACATGCAAAGTAAGTTTTTTTGGAGATTTCTGAAGTCTAAACAATAATAAATAATTAACATAATATTGAACTTACAGAAATGATCCTCTCAGTTTCATCTTTGTTCATCTGGATTCTCACCACCTGAGAGCATCTTGGCGAGTTCACATCAATGAATTTCAGATTCGTTGATCTGAATGAATTCATCGAGTAACTAAGCATGTCAATCCCTCTTGTCCATAAACTTTTCTTAACTTTCCCACTTGGAATAAGATCCTCAATTCCCAAATTAATCTCATTCACCACCTTCCCTCCCCTCTCTTCTTTTTCCTCTTCTGCTTCACCCACCAGCTCTTGCAGCTCTCTCAGCAAAGACACCGCGGTCGTCCGGTCGCACGCCGAAACATGAAGCCGGAGCACCACCACCCACTTTTCATTAGGCAGTGAGTACATGCTCGCCAAGAACATATCATTTTCGTTATTATCATTACTACACCACCAAACATGTTGGTTAAGTTCATGTTCAAGAAGTGATTGTAAAGGCGAAATAGCCAAGTTTTTCGTCGGAGGGTTAAGACTTTCAAGTATTTTACAGGTTGATGAGAGGTTAAACGACTTGATTTGAACGTAAGGAGTCGTAGATGTGATGAAGGAGAAGCTGTTTTTGCTAGGGTTTCTGTGGAGTTTTGACCTTAGTACTGGGTGTAATTTTTGTAGTTTATTTATGGCGTTTTGAAGTTTTAAGGCTTCTAGGGTTTTTGAGGTAAGGATTGCCAGGACAGCAATGCCGGTGCCGCCGGGCACAGCACGGCACCAGCTGTACTCAGTGCCACCCACTGGTCGACCCTTGGGCTCCTCCATCATGAAAAAATGTAAGGTTTTGGGGACAAAAGAGAAAGGAAGAGACCCTTACTTCAAGCTTCCGCGGAGTATGTTTATAATAGTATGAACAATGGAGCAATTTAATGTCTTGCTCTATAAGAATTAAGTTAATTATGTCTGAAAAAAATGTACTATATATTACAAGAACTATATTTCATACTCCTTTGTTCTCACAAAATTTTTACAAAATTGATATAAGATTATTTAATAAATTTGCCATGTATTTTTGTTATTTATTCATAATAATATATAGAATATAGAATTTATGTATTAAACTTTTATTTATAAGATGAAAGGTGAGATTCCAAGTACATGAATAAGAGACTAATATCGATCATTCTAGTTTATGTTAAGAATTTATAATTAAATTTATGATCAAGACGTTTCATAGTTTGTTATTCATTGTGTTATCAATTTCATNCAAATGAAAAAAAAAAAAAAAAACTGAAGTTAAAGAATTAATCATCCACACGTCTCATGCTCTCAGTTCTAGTGAGCCTGATACCTGTACATAAGCTGCAAATAGTTATAACATAAGTTAAACTGACCTGTTCCACCAGCCACATCAAGATGCTTCATTCCTGGGAATGGATTCAGTTTGGAAACCAATCTGAAAAGTGCAAAGAGGATATCTAACAATGTGAAGGTAAAGTAAAGTAGTTTGCACATTTGACAAAATTGCTAATGAATAACACTGAGAATTTAACCTATCCTTCCATAATCTATGCAATCCACCACTCATCAAATCATTCATGAGATCATAGTTAGAAGCAACACTGCTGAAGACATTACCAACCAATTGACTTTTATCTTCTTCCCGTACTTCTTTATATCCTGAAAATTTAACTGAAGTGAGCAATAATTCAATATAAACCTGTAACTGAAAATTGATATATACATATCGTACAAGTTTCTAGCCACTAAAGCTGTCAAGTCTGACAGTAGTCCCAAGTTAGAACTTGAGGAACTCATACGAAAAGCCATGGATTTCATGTTATAAAAAAAAATCCTTTACGAAAGAAGCACAAAAAAGGCATGCCAGAATTCAAACTCTATCTGTGCCATTTACTAATTTAATAAAAAACTTTATAGTTAAAAAAAAGGAAAAAAAAAACCCTCCACCCAAAAATTTGACATCCTCCTCACAAAATCTTTTAACATCCTTTTAGCTATCTGTTGGAAAATTTGCCAAAAAAGCACAGAATATCCTTTTACTTCAAGGGAAAAGTGAATATCTCACATTTATCTAGCATATTCTGCAGACATATTCTTTCAATGTCAGAATACAAAGCAAAATATAGCTGCTGTCAAAGTGCAACAGGTATCACTCTTCAAGCATCACCTTCAAAAGTAAGATTTTGAAAGATCCAGCGGTTCAAATTTTAATTATCTTGTTTTGACTTTCTTTGAAATAGGAAAATTGTATTGAGCATTTCTTCCACTCTCTATTTTTCACATGATTGATGTTTATAATATGTATTCAATTTTATTTAGATTAAATACCGCATTGATTGGCTTTTTGTTATTCACAAAGAATCCATCCAAAGTGTAATTAAGATATTTTCTGCACCAACCTAAGTATCTGAATGCACAAAATACTAGTAGAAGATAGTTGACTTCTAGATACAGCATAATCATACATGTCCATGTCTGTGTCAGAGAGAGAAGTTACCAAAGCTAGTCGCATGTGAATGCAGTAGAGAAGCAGAAGAGCACATTGGTAAGAGCTTACTCCCTAACTTCCTAGTCACCAATCGCAGTGCCATGGTTTCGATAACAACTCTATGAGTAACTGTCAAATTAAATGTACATGGGTCAATTTCAGTTCCCATACTTTTATGATCAGATATTGTTTCTTGATTTCTAAGTAAGTTCTCACTAATTAATGCGAAGAAAGATAAAGTTAAATAAAACTTTGCATCAATTAACATCAAGGAGCAAACAATAAATCTCAAAACTAAAAACAGAAAGTCAAAATTTGATAATACCAGAAAATATGTTGTATCTACAACTCAACCAACATTTTTCCAATCAGAGTAAAATGGTAATATACCTATCCTAAGAAACATAGACCAGTAAGCACTCAAATATAGAAATGCTAAGGTAGTACATACCCAACAATTCTACAGCACCAAATATGCAGTTGGCTTCACCTAGAGAGAGAAATAAAACATTTTTGAGCTATTCTAACAATTTGTTTTTTTCTTCTTTCACAAAAAAGAGGAAAACAGGAATATATGCCAAAGAGAGAATAAGAGAACAAAGATCATATGCTTAGAAATAGTATAACCAAGGGAATTGTGAATTACAATTATATAGCTCTCTTAATTTGATCGTGCAATTTGTTGCGCTAATAAATACCAATATAGAATCATTAAACTACAATCACAATTGAAACTAGTGCTCAAGATAAAAGTGAAGAATTGAAAGTGTGATAGAGGGGTTAATTAATTTTTTCTTTACTTTCATATCTCTGGGTGTTTCGAAAATTCTTCATAGCATCATGCAAAATCAAGTTCAACTTTCATAATTCTCCCACACGTTTCATCGAACAATTTAAGAATTGAAGATCAAATACGTCAGCTCAATTCAAAATACAATTTAACGTGAACCCACGTTACCAGATAATGTCCAATCCCGTTCAACTACATACCAACACAGAATCTGATCAAATAAAACATATATAAATTAAAAAAAAAAAAAACTTAAGTCATTAATTTGCAGGAAAAAGAAAAACTAAACATATAAACAATGTCAGCCTAACTTCTGTTTGTTAACCAAGAAAACAGAAGAAACAAAAAAGAGATGAATATTATGTACTTACGATAACTGAAAATACAGAGAGTTGAAGCTTCTTCCATAAAATGTAGGGACTGTGTCTAGCATTGCAGAAGTTATTATTAAATGTGCATATAACAAAAACTATTGAAATTATTTGTAGTCACTTCAGCAAAATTGTGTGATTTTTGTTAATTACTTTTAATCTAACCAAGTAGTAATAAATTGATAATGTGTTTGGATTATGAAATTGCACCAATAAAACAGAGATGACGGGTACCTAGCGAGCAGTAAACTTCTAGCGCTCCCTAAGCTAGTCGCCGGCGCGTCTATGTGGACTGCTGGCGAGATCGACGGCGAGGGATGGATCGGAGGTGGAGTGTTGGTGGTGGTGGTGGTGTTTGGCAGTGAGAGACTGGCGAGGTTTGGTAGCAGGGTTTTATTTAGTGGAAATAATTACATTTTCGTCCTTATGGTTTCGGTCTATTACAAGGACGATAGTTTTACAAAGGGATATTATTTTTAGGTACAACTCTTTCATAAAGTGCTAAAAACGGATACTATTTTTTATTTATTCAGCTTAGGAACGCTAATTTACTAATTTTGTCCAATTTAGGTACAAAACAAGCACACATTCCAATTTGTTCAATTTAGGAACATGATCCAAAACCTCGATGAAAAACTCAACACAACACTAGAAAATAATATGCACAAAACCGGCCCAACAAGAACCTTCACAAACTTCATACCCGATTTCACTACACAAGGGAATCTCAACCTCCAAACATGCACAAACACAACACAACCAGATTTCGGCCAAGATAGAAACAAGAATTCAAGACTACTTACTTGGATATAAGGATAGTAACAAGAAAAATCTTCAAGCATAAAGGATCTTTCCACCAACTTGAAGTTGAATCACCACCAAATCCCTTGTCAAGATTTGGATAAAAATTTCAAAGCAAAAGGAAAACCATTCCTCCCAAGTGTTTTTTCTATTTCATTGTCTAACTTACAAAATGAGAGAGAGTTTGCTTATATAGTAGCATTACAAGGATGATTAACTAATTTAGTAGAGTAAAAAAGCCACCTAGGATAATTAACTAGAAACATACAAAATAAACATGCCACCTAGAATGACTAATTAAACATAACAAGTAATTAAATCCTACTAATAAAAGTGCATGAGTTTGGGCCTTGGGATTCATTGAAATGGGCCCAAAATGAAGTAGCATGAAAACACTCTTCGGCTTGGATAATGGGTTATCTTGGATCACTTGAATACTTGGGCCTTTCTTTTGTTAGACTTGGACTTCACTTGATGACTTGGTGCTTGAATGGACTTGGGCTGAGAGTTAGGCTTGGACTTCCCTTGATGAATTGGTGCTTGAATGGACTTGGGCCGAGATGTCTCTTTTCTTTTGCACAACTTGGGCTAATTCTTCTCCTTGAGCTTGGGCCGGATCTGAATTGTCTCCTTGGACAACTTGGATTGGTTCATTTCCTTAGGCTTGGGCAAAATTGCATCCTTTATGACCCACATGCCATGTGCCAAGTGTTTTAGGACCAGGAATGACTAGTTTTGATTCAATCGAATTCGCAAGTGTGTTATGACTTGCAATTCCTTTTCCACTCAAGTTCACAAGTGTTTTAGGACTTGTAAATGGATCATCCTCCCCGGGTTGAAGAAGATTTGCCCTCAAATCCAGATCGTCCTCCAAATATGGGCTAAGGTCACCCACATTAAAAGTTGCCGATACACCACCATACTCACTAGGTAATTCTACCTTGTAAGCATTGCCATTCACCCTTTCAATGATTTCAAATAGGCCATCTGCCCTAAGAGCCAATTGACTCTTCCTCTTGCTCAAAAATCTTTCCTTTCTCAAATAGATTCACACCAAATCACTCGGTTGAAATAGTTTAGGCTTTTGATTCTCGTTTGCCTTGCTTTTAATCTTTTCATTGGCTTTCACAATCTGAAGTCTCATGGCCTCATGGAGCTTCTTCATTTACTTTACCTTTTCATTAGCATTCACACTTGGCTTGAAATCAAGGGGCAATGAAGTGAGATCAAGTGGAGTGAAAGGGTTTACAATGTATAATACCTCAAATGGTGTGTGACTCGTGGTGGAACTTGGACTCCATATTGTATGTGAATTCGGCATGTGCTAATTGCAAGTCCCAATCCTTCAAATGTTTACTCACCAAACTCCTCAAGATATTGCCCAACACTTTATTGATTGCCTCAGTTTGACTGTCGGTTTGAGGGTGATGGGATGTACCAAACAGCAACTGAGTTCCCAATCTACTCTATAGACTCCTCCAAAAATGACTTAGAAACTTTGTATCCTAATTCAACACAATTGTCTTTGGAATGCCATGTAGCCTTATAATCTCCATGAAAAATAAATTGGTAATGCAAGATGCATCATATGTGGTATGACATGGTATGAAATGAGCCATTTTGGAAAAACGATTAACCACTACCATGATAGAATCTTTACCTCATTGTGTTCTTGGCAAAGCAACCACAAAGTCCATGCTAAGATCTTCCCAAGGATGTTCAGCTATGGGCAAGGGCATGCATAGGCTTGCCTTGAATTGGCTCTTTGATCTTTGGCATGAACCATAACTTTTAATGAGGGCTTGAACATCACTCAACATTTTAGGCCAATAAAAATACTCCTTGATGAGTTATAGGGTCTTAGTAACCCCAAAGTGACCTGCCAAACTGCCACCATGTGCTTCCCTCATGATTAACTCCTTAAAACTCCATTTCGGCATACACAACTTATTCCTCTTAAACAAATAACCATCATGTATGACATACTCCTCAAAACCAGGGTTTCAACACTCAACCATACACATTTTCATCTCATCATCCCCATCATAACACAATCTCATCAATTCAAGACCAAGTACATATGAATCTAGTAAGGATAACAAGGCATACCTTCTTGAAAGTGTGTCAGTTACCACGTTGTTTACTCTCTGCTTGTAGTTCGAAACAAAGGAGAAGGATTGGAGGAATTCAACCCACTCGACATGTTTAGGATTTAGTTTGTGTTGGCCACTGATGAACTTCAAGGCTTGATGATCAAAATGGTATACAAATTGCTTTGGGCATAGATAATGGCTCTAATGATTTAAGACTCTCACTGTAGCATAAAACTCCTTATTATAAGTGCTATACTTCGTCCTTGACTCATTAAGCTTCTCACTAAAGTATGCAATGGCGTTTTGATTGAGTAAGGACTGTTCCAATGCCAACATCACTCGCATCACACTCAACTTTGAACACTTGATTAAAATTCGACAATGCAAGGATGAGGGCTTCTCACAACTTTCCCTTAATCAATTAAAAGGCTTCACTTGCTGCCTTAGTCCACTTAAATGTTTCCTTCTTCATACACTCAGTTATGGGAGCCATAATGGTGCTAAAATTAGGCACAAACCACTGATAGAAAGAAGCCAATCCATGAAAACTCCGAACTTCTGTTATGGAACTTGGTTGCGACTAACTCTTAATAGCTTCAACCTTAGATTCTTTCACCTAAAATTACATATCCCCAAAACACAACTTTCTTCATAAACAACTCACATTTTTCAAGCTTGGCATAAAGCTTTGGTCTCCTCAACACTTCAAAAACCTACCTAAGATGATTAATGTGGCTTTCCTCACAACTACTATAAACAAGTATATCATGAAAATACACAACCATTTAATACCCCATTCATCAATCTCATAAAGGTGCTTGGTGCATTTGATAGGCCGAAAAGCATCACTATCCACTCATACAAGTCTCCCTTTGTTTTGAAAGTCATCTTCCATTCATCCCTTCTTTCATTCTAATAGGTGATGCCAACTCCTTAAATCAATCTTGGAGAAAATCGTTGCACCACGAAGCTCATCCAACATGTCGTCCAACTGCGGTATAAGGTACCTATACTTATGGTTATGCGGTTTCTATGTCTCGAAGTGGCAGCAATCCCTTGGGAAACACATCAGCATGCTTATTCAAGAAGGGTTGGATATTTGGGTCAAAGTTAAACTTTTTAATTTTCTTGTTCTTTTCGGCAATAAAGAGTGTGATGATGGTTTTGTGTTTTTGGAAGACCTTTATGTGGTGGTTCTTTGGGTGGTGTTTGGGTTGGAAGTAATGATGCTAGGGTGATGGTTTTCTTGTTGAACTTGAATGAGTAAGTGTTCTTTCTACCATCATGGTTCACCCTTCGATCAAACTGCCATGGTTTACCAAGTAAAAGATTACATACGTCCATGGGAATAACATCACAAGTCACCTCATCTGAATATCTCTTACCAATGGAAAATAGTACAACCACTTGTTTAGTAACTTGAACCGTGTCACCATTACTTAGTCATTGCAACTTGTAAGGATATGCATGACTAAGTGTAGGGAGTCCTAACTTGTCAATAAGTATGGTAGAGGTTACATTAGTACAACTCTCGTTGTCCACAATTACCGAACATACTTTCCCTTTCACGGTGCACCTAATTTGAAACAAATTCTCTTTTTGATTATCTCGGGAATTAACTTGAGTATGCAACAACCTTTTAAGCATCAACAAATCTCCCTGATTGGCCTCCTCAATTATCTCATCTTCACTCTCTCTTTCTTCATTTTCTTCACTATATTCTTCTTGGAATGCTTCATTAATTGCTTCAATCTTCTAAAGAGTCATAACTCTTCGACTTGGATAATTTGGTTGAAAATGCCCATAGCGTTGACACTTGAAACATTTTTTTATTTCTCAAATCAACTCGTGGAGGTTCATTCTTAACAAAGTTCGACTTCTCTTTTGGTGCTTCATTCACCTTGTTTTTAACATAACCCATGGGTACAACATAGGGCTTGGTATAGGAAGGTGACATTTTTTGGTACGAATTCTCCTTGAAGAACTTATTGGGAGCTGATGATTTTACACTCTTTAATTGCTTTTCTACCTTTGTAGTCAACTTACACACATCTTCAAAGGAATGATAGGTTTGCAATTCAATCTTTTGTGCTATATCCCTAGTCAAGCCGCCAAGGAATCTAGCAATGGTATGCTTCTTCTCTTCGAGAATATCACTCCTCAAAATTAACCCTTCAAATTCTCGAATGTACTCTTCAACCTTCCTATCTCCTTGTTTCAGATTGTGTAACTTAAGATAAAGGTCTTGTTTATGGTGATCGGGCAAGAACCTCTTCTTAAGCACTCTCTTTAACTTAGCCCAAGAACGAATTGGAGTTTTTCCTTCCCTTACTCTATTATTTTTTTGTGTTTTCCCACCATAAGGAAGCATAATCCTTAAATTTTAGTATGACTACCTTACACTTCTCTTCATTGAAGCCCTTAAAATCAAATACTGTCTCAATTTCATGCAAC